CGGTATGCATGCGGGCAAGGCAGGGGAGGTGTTGATCGTTTACCTGCAGGAGCAGCGTGCTGACGAGTACGATTTGGCCAACAGGGGCAACCCCTGCGGCGACGAGGTTGGCTGTGTGCAGAAGGGCAATGGCGAGGCCACTGGTAAAGATGAGCTGCTGCCCGAAGTTGAGTAGGGCCAGCGACTCATTCACCTTCGCCATTTGATTCTCCAGCTGCCGCTGCACACTCCCAAACCGCTCCGCCTCCTGCGCCTCCGCCGTGAAGTAACGCACCGCCTCCGCGTTACTTAAAGAGTCCACCAACAGCCCTGATATCAACAAAACCAATGCAATGAAATCATAAACCCTGAACCCTAAACCATCAACACCTATCGCGCTCTCGCCTCATCCATGCTACCGTTAGAGGCAGATCAAACACACTGACAAACGCCCACTGAACTGCGTAGCAACACCCGAGGATCTCCCATATTCCTAAAGAGGCGTCGGTACCCTGGGGGCCTCAAAACCCTTAGATCCCCGTGTCGGCCCCCAACAGCTGAAGGGATTTCCCAGGGGCTCTTACACCTACTGAAGGCCCCTATGACCCCCGTGCGGGTCCCCTCGTTCCCGCATACTCCTTGGGAGTTAGTTTACGTGAGGATCGTACCGGCGCTGAGCCCCTCTAGGCGGTTCATCTCGCGTCTCAGTTTGGCTCTGCGCGTAGTGACGGTGGCGGTGAATGCCCAGTACGCAGAAATTGTGGCCACAGCTGTTGCCGCCACGGTCCAACCAACTCGCAGCTTCAAGAGAACTAAAACCATCAAAAACTCCAGTGTCGTTGGCACCACCTGCAGCAGCACCAGCAGCAACAGAAGCAGGTAGCGGGAGCAGCAGCAGCAAAGGCAGCAGCATACGCCCAGCATTCTCAACTGGCTGTCACGACACCCCGCATACTTAATGCAGTGCATCTAGTACTTACCTGAAATAGCAAAACATTCAGAAGCAGTGATATGGCCTTGGTCCCTCG